TATATTGATAGGAAAGAAGGGGCAAACCGCACTAGCAGAACACCCGCCAACCACCCACTTGTGCTGTTGCTTATTCTTAACAAAGGAAACTATAGCATGGATTTGTTTCGGTTACATCCCTCTTGAATTAACGTTTTATTTTGTCTATTCTATACAGACGAAGAAACGAAGATGAAAACGTCTCAGGTACGAAAGAGTTAACCCTCTACGGTTCTTATACTATAGGGTTAACGAGTACCCCGCACCCCACAGCCACTGGCGTCTGTGCTGCAGCAGTGGGGGCTTTCTTGGCACAATGATTATAATAAATACCGGTGTTTACGGTCTCTGTCTTGGCCTATATACTATATATAGGTTAAGGTGTTCGCCTCTCATTCAATAGGTCCTGCGTTCGAATTCGGATAGCGACGGAAATTGTTCTCCTCTAAATTATCTCCTTTCACCCCCTTTCCTGCTCTCAAGCAATGTTCTGTCGTCTGCTTTCTTATCCACTTTCTGCCCCCACCCCCTCACATCTTTTTGCCCCTCTGGACTCCTGAGTCTTTCTGCAGCCTTTCTATTGCTACTCCTTGGTTCCTTCTTAATAATAATAAATAGCATTTGTATAGCGCATATCCCCGCTCAACAGCAGGCTCTATGCGCTTTACATTATATTATTACCCCAGCAGACCATAGAACACCCCGAAACATTCTCAGCTTCCCGGGAAGCATACAGTGCAAGCAGCTGATTAAGCGCTCAAACACTAACAAACTGACAAGATCTTTCGCTGTCTATAGACGGGTACCCATTCCCACCTGGGTGAAGTGAGGAAAATTCGTGTAAAGTGCTTTTCCCAAGGACACAACGTCGGGCCCCTGACGGGATTCGAACCCTCGACCTTACGGTTGCGAGTTCGAGAGCCTAACCACTAGGCCACCGACGTCTTTCAGCCACACCCCTGATCTTCTGGTAGGAAAGATCTACACCTAACCTTCTCGGACAAAGGCCAAAAATCTCTGAAGTCCCGTGTGCCAGTTGCGCACGTTAAAGATCCATTGGTGGTCTAAAATCGATATGAGTATGCTTCGGCCGGCACCCGGGCAAAATTAAAAAATTCTTACCAAATGAAAATGTTGAATGTGTCCCTCGTGCTCAGGTGACATTATGCAGTTTGAGCACCGTAAAACACGACCCCCCCCCAAAAAAAAAAAAAAAATTAAAAAAATTAAAATAAAAATAAAAAATAAAAAAAATAAAAAAAAATAAATAAATAAATAAAAATAAAAAATAAATAAATAAATAAATTTAAAAAATATATAGATAATTTAAAATGTAGCAGTAGCCGCCCACTTAGCCGCAGCAGGCAGGAGACCAGAGCTCGATTCCAGCTTTAAATCATTGTGTCGATGGGGGAGTAAAAACAACTACGTTAAAAACAAACAAACAAACAAACAAACAACAACAACAACAACAGGAATAAAAAGAAAACTCCACAACTGAAGCGTAATAATAATTATAGACCTAATAATAATAATAATAATGATGATGATGATGATGATAATAGAGTATAGAGGCCATTATAATAATAATAATAATAATAATAATAATGATGATAATAATAATAATAATAATAATAATAATAATAATAATAATAATAATAATAATAGGCCTTGCCTAATAATGATAATCCCTGCCCAATTGCAAGATGTAGATCTAGATTCTATGTACTGAGTGAACACTCAAACATTACCGGCTTCAGTTGGTCTCATAACGAGCTGAGCTTATCTTACAAGATAAATATAATACTATTATAATAATACCGTATACATTTAGCTGTTCCCCAGAGCCGAGTTAACCACTACACTATGTGAAGCCAGGAGGGGAT